GTCATGAGGCAATTTTTATTGCCTCCCAGGCTCTGAAGGAGCAAGAGGGTTTTGCCCCAAATGCTTTAGAATATTGCTGCAGAATATAATGGGACTTAGCTAGTCTAGAATTAGCTCCTCGCCACTGGGGTATCCCACAAGTGTTGCAGTCATCTGGCCCCTTTCATTTCAGTGTCACCATTTTTGGTATGTGGGGCAAGGACCCAGGAATCTGGCACCTTTGACTTTTTCTCCTTTTTATTTGTGTGTAAAAAAACTTTCTGAATCTAAAAGTGGCTCATTTTATCTTTACTGGTTAAATCAGTCAAGCCTTGGCCTTGCCTTGCTTGTCATGGGTGTGCTTCACAGTTGTCATTAGCACTCATCTTCATTTCTGTCTCCTACCTAGTCTTAGTTTATTCAGAATGCTATAACAAAATATCATAACCCCTTTAGCTTATAAACAACGTTCACAGTTCTGGAGGCTGGGAAGTCCGAGGTCATGGCAGATTCCATGTCTAGTGCCCACTTTCTGATTGATAGATGGTGACTTCTTATGGTCTCACACAGTGAAAGGGGCTAGCCAGCTCTCTGGGTCTCTTTTATAAAAGCCATAATCCCAATCATGAGGCATTTTCTTTCATGAGCTAATCATTGCCCAAAGGCTCCACCTTCTAATATCATCACCTCAGGCATTATGATTTCAACATAAGAATTTTGAGGGAAATAAGCATTTAGTCTACTGCACATGCTTCTTCCTCAAAGTCCTTTCTTTCCACTTGCCTCTTCTTATATTGATCATCTTTTGCCTTCTCTCTCTCCTTTTCTCCCTCAAGTAACAGCTAAAGGAGAGGAAGAACTGAAACTCAACAAGTTCATAATCTCATGTAAATACACACAATGGACCGTTAAAACTAAAATACATACCCTTTGGTTTTCAATATAGCAACCTTTACAATATATATGGTTGTTGTCACACATAACAGTTTCCTTGAGAATGAAATAAAAGTGGAATATTAGGGGAAGAGTTCACAGTTTTATTTGTAGTACTTCTTCCCCTCTCCCCCAAGGAACCCAGAAAGAAAGGGAAAACATCATACAATCGTTGGGTTACAATAGGATATTTCAATGAAGTCTTTGTTGCTATCCACAAAATGTACAGCATGTGGAACTCTTGTCTCCTGGATTAAGACTTCCTGTCATCAAAGTATCTGGGCACCTGTGTTGCTGAACATCAGCCAGAAGAAAATAAATTGCTTTTCCTCCAGTATTACTCTACTCCTGAGTAGTCACCTCCAATGTAGTAGTGAACCAAGAAAAGCAAATTGACTTTTCTGTTTGCATAATCTACCATAATTTTTTTCATTAAGCCATACCTGGAAGGAGGTGTCTCTGCCCCTCACCACCCGACCCCATCAGAAACATGGGCAGCTCCTCAGCATGGCCTTCACCACCTTCAAGGTGAGATGGATGGTC